GGCTGACCTTACATCTTATCAGTAGCTGAGAATGACCTTGAACTTCTGATCTTCTTGCCTCCCAGAGTGCTGGGAATGATGTGCCGTCATGCCCAACCTTTTCATTTTGATAGCCAAATCTCAGACCTGTCATACATCATGTGCTTTATCCTGTTGTCTTATGTAGGTTTTTTTTGTTGTTGTTTTGTTTATTTTCTTCCCCCCCCATTTTCTTCCCCAAACCATTACTATGATTTAGGTTTCTGCTTTTTCTGATACAAATTGCTGAAGAAAATGCCCAATTTATTTATACTATATATCTGTTTTTCAGATCATAGTATTCAGAACCCCTGTATTCGGCTTTGTAACCTCTTCCAGAGTAAAGCAAGCCTTAGTATTATGTGAATAAACTATGGTAGAGTCTGTCTCTGGAACTTTACAAGTGGTCTTTCCTTCCCCTCCGTTCTTTAGCTATGCTAAACCCACAGGTGCCAGATAAGCCCCAGCTCAGTCCCAGTGCCCCTTGGGACTTCTGTCCTTTCTCAAGTGTCTAGCCTTTCAATTTGTGACTTAATGGTTTTCATTGAAGTTATATTTTAAGTTGGAAAAGTTAAATATGCCACTTGAATCCATAAGAATATCCTTGCAGTTACAGTGAAAATAAACACATTTTTTTTAATATTAAGTAGCTATCCAGGTTCTCATCTTATCCCATTAAGTAGTAACCAGAGCATAGTTGAATCACTTTGTAATTCTTGGTAGCTTTATCCTGGATTAAAGAATGATGTTTTTCCTTCATCCATTGATTCATTTACCAGGAATGGATTGAAGGACTACCATATGATAATCAACACACTGTGTTAAGCACTGCTTATTTGCATTAGTGATTATGCTAGACATTGTAATAGCACATGAAAAAGTAAAGTGAGTCTCATGTCCGAGTGAGTGAGTTGTTAATTCTACTAAAAGGAAAGTCAAATAAGATGTTTTTTGGAGGCTCTGTTGACACATTAGGAATTCTCAATGATGGGATGTTATTCCAGGGAGAAGGGACAGTCTGCTATCTCTGTTACCAGGCCAGGTTGGAGAGGCCTTCATGTCATATGGTAACAGTTACACTTGATTCCTTAAGCCATAGGAATTGAGCAAAGCTAATGGGGAGTTGGAGAGGGAATACACAGCGATCTGTGTTCTATAGAGGCAAAATGGCTGATGTTGGAAAGAGAGGGTTAGTTTAAGAAGCTATTCAAGGAATGAAAGGGAATTAAGAAGTGAGGTTATGAGACTAGCTGGAGCTTTTGCCAAGTGTTCTGTGTGGATCTAGAGTAAGAGGCAAAAAGACACTTCAAAAGTGGAATTACTCTTCACATGGGTGTTGGGCGGATCTAGTAAAAACTAGGCTCAAACATGTAGTGGACATTTGTTTTTCTGTACAACTTTGTGAATTTTTTACGTTCGTACACCAAACCCTTCCAGTGTTTCTGAGACTTTCATACTTAAAGCTTAAGGCTGTCTTTGAATTTTTAGTTCCATATTAGTGACTGTAAATTTTTTTCATGAAAGTTGTTTTATGTAATATACAAACATTTAGTTACACATTAACTGTACTTTACGCTAGCTGTAGCGTTCTGACATTGTTCACATTATCAGACACACAACTCGTTTTTGTTATTTCCCCTAATATCTGAACAACAACAACAAAAATAGTAAACTTGTAAAACATGGATTTGAAAAACTAAAATGCAGAAAAGGATATTGCAGGAGAGACTTTTTTCATCTGACACTCCACATACATGAACTTGAAAATGTCAGTTCTTGTTTTAAAATTTTTATTACATAAGAGCTCTCACCTAGTGACTTTTAGAACTTGTGTGATGGTGATAATTATTGAAAATTACTGACATTCTGGTCAATTTACACCTACTTATATAGCTCCAGAACTCCCATTAATTCTCATTTAAATTACCCTGTGACAGTGGGTGCCTAGGAAACAGTCTCTTTTGGCTTCTAGAATTTCTATGAGAAAAATGTTTTTGAACATGAGTTCAACCATAAATGGTGTTTGCGTCTGTACTGACAAATAGATTTGTATATCTCTCTAATTAAATTTATATACTCAGTAGCTTAATTTCAAAAGAATGGGGGCTGGAGAGATAGCTCAGTGGTTAAGAACACTGGTTGTTCTTGCAGAAGACCCAGGTCCAAATCCCAGCACCCACATGGCAGCTAACAACTGTCCATAAATCCAGTCCCAGGGGATCCGACAGCCTCTTCTGACCTCTGCAGGCATTGCACAACACGTGTGCACTTACCTACATACACGAATACACATAAAATAATAAAATTTTAAAAAATGAATTGATATTAATTAGAATTAAAATCTAAAGTGCTAAAATAAAATAGTTAATAGGAGCAGCACCTGTATTCTTTTTAGAAGATTTTCATTCTTTGAAAATTTCTGGCACATATGCTAGGTGTGCTACAATCCCTGGTGCTGGCTGCTGTGCCTCTGCAAAGGGCAGTGCTGGGAAGACACTCAGGAGAACTCTCTGTATGAAGAACAAGGCCCCTTCCCCCAGTTCTGCAGAACCTACCAAGGACTTAGACCTGAGTTTGCAGTCAGCATCGCAATGCTGTACACAGCATAGAATGGCTGCTGATTCAGAGGCGAGAAGTGCTGCCTCCCACCCGAAATCCTGCATGCCTGTTACTATCCCAAGCTCCCTGGGTTTTATTCTGTTCTTTTTTTTCTGATGCTCTATCTACATCTTGATTTGGGTGTTTAATTCACTCATTCTTCTTTTTCTCTTAAGTGCTCACAACTAGTATTAAATATGTTTGAGCTGTATGAGTTAGTATGTGCTCATTACTAAATTAGGTTATAATCCCATCTTCTATAATACAATTTTATCCATTGGTTCCTTTTCTCATTATATTTTCTAGATTTTTGTTGTAATTACAGAATAATCAGAGAACATGGCCTTATGCAATTATCTTCTTTAGAAAATAATTTTATCCTTTGAGAATTTTATACAATATCCTTTGATATCATATTCAAATGCCCTTCACCATCTCTTTATATTTCTACCCTCTGCCTTCCTGTGGCCCACAACTTAAGGTCCTTTGTATTTTTTTTTTAAGTTCATTGAGTTCAATTTGTGTTTCCCAAATAATCTAGGTGTGGGTCCATCCTCTGGAGCATGGTCAGCCTACCCATGATCTTTTAAAACTTGTTGAGACTTGCTTTATGGCCCAGCATGACATTGTTTTAAAACTGTTTCATATTATGTTTGAAAAGAATGTGTGCCCTCTGTGTTGACTGTTGTGTCCAAATTGTGTCCTTAGGTTAAGTATTTTAAATGTTTAAATCCTTTTGTGTATACACATAGGGGTTTTTTGAAAATTTTATTTATAGCATTTCAGCATTCTTTTTCCTGATATATTGAAAGTTTATCATCAATAGATTTGTTCTAGGGCTTATGATTTTTTTTTTTTCTGTGTTCTGATCCTGGTAAATGTCAATCAGCCTTCCCTTAGTTGTTATTTGCTGGATAGATATATAGATGCGTTCTTCATACTTTTGCTTTTAACATGGTGAATCATTACTTTTATGGATAGCTCTTACAGAGGTCATAGCTGAGTTCTGTTTGTAACTGAGATTTCCTGTGTTTGTTAACACATGCATTTGGTTAACTTGGATGTTTCGTGTTCTTCCTGCTCTTTCACTCCTTTGCAATGCTCGCACTGATTATTTCTTCTCTCCTGATTTATAAGTGGTAGTTGTTAGTAGTTACCAGGTATGTCTTAACTGTATCTCCTTAGCTTATCAAAGTTAAACTTGGTTTATTTTCCTGCCTCCCAGGTAGTTCAGGAAGCTTCTGACATTATGCCAACTCCAACCTGACGCTTAGCCACTGGTATAGACCTCAGTCCGTTTTTGCTGGTGGTGAGCCTTTGCTTGGGTCTGCCTCCTCACTGTAGCACATTCTATTCCTTCGTCCACCTCGGGTATCTGGTGGCATCACTTTACTTCTGATGAGCCTTTTGGTGATAAAATTTTGTCCGAAATGGTTCTTAGTTTACCCTAAGGGGCACGTTCTGTGGGAGCAGCTGTTGTGCCATTGTGCCAAGTGGGGGCAGAATGAGACACAGCTCTTTCTGATTTTTACTGCTTTTAAGAGGTCAAATTTCGCTGCTTTTTAAGATGTGTCTGCCTTGGATTTCTGCAGTTGTGCCTTAATGAGATTGAGTGTGGGTTTGTTTTCCTTTTCTCTCCCGTTCAGTTATGGAGTAATGTATATTTCAGGTGAAAGCTCCTTTGCACGAGTTCTCCCTTGCTGCCTCCTGAACGTCTTCTAGAATGGTCTATTGGCCACCGTGGTGTTCTCTTACCAGCTCTTCTGTGATGCTTCCCTGTCTTTGCTGTTCCGGTTCTTGAGCACTTCCGATTTAAATTATTCTCACACTCTTGTCTTGGTAGGGCAGTTTTCTCAATTAAGTAATATAGCTTGATTTGCAGCTAAACTAAAGGAAACAAACGTGAAAACCTGACTGCCTTTGTTCCTAATAATTTAAGTTTCTAATAATTTGATAAAAATAATCTGGCATGAAATGAATAGTTGTCGCCAGCTGTAAAAAAATTTAGCTTCATACACTGTATTTGTCCAGAAATAAGTGGATCTGGGTCCAGGAACAAGGAGCTCTGGGTAGCAGCCTGCCTGTGAGGTGGCTGCTTGGATTTCTGTTTCTTCTTCTGTCTTTCTGCTGTCTTGACTGGTGCTTCTCGGTGGGACTCTTTTTTTACTGTTCTCAATTTCCATTCCATGTACTGCTTTAAAAGTTGGTGAGGTCCAGAAATCCCTTTCTGCATATTTGCTGACTTAATTTGCCCTTTAATAAATCAAGAGCATTTCAGAAACACTTTTAAACCAACATAGAATCATGAAAAGTGTTAACTTTTTCCATGCTTTGGAATATCAGTAATGTTACTTTTCAGTAAATATATGACCGTTTTCTTTTAGAACTCAAACCTGATTCATCAGAAAGTGTCTCCTCCTGATGATCGACAAGGATCTCCAATATTGTCATTCATCATTCTTGAACAGTTCAATGCCATCCGTTTAGTGCAGAGTGTTCATCAGTCCCTTGCTGCTCTCAGCAAAGTCATCAGAGGAACTACCTTACTGAGTTCAGAAGTACAAAAATTGGCAAGTGCTTTATTAAACCAGAAGGTAAGTCCACAGTCAGTGTGTATATGTTCATCCTATTACCTGAGGGGCTTTCCTTCATTCATGCATTGACCAGGAATCTTGTAGTTAACAGTAACAGAAAACTGAAGTCAAAGTGGTAGAAGTTATAGAGCTTCGTTGGTTGAAGAGACAGCAGTGTCTATGGAAGGATTATACCGGCAGCTTGCAATTGTCTTTAGGATCTCAGCTTGTTACCTCTCTGGCTGTCTATTAGGTATATAATGAAATCCATTTTGATTTCACTTTGGGGCAAGTCTTGGGGACATGATGGTACCTATCCGAGCCCAAGCCATGGAGTTTCTAGTCTCTGAGTTTCAACTCCACTAGAAAAAAAAAACCAAAAAAAAAAAAACAATGGGTTCCTAGTAACTGAAGCAAAAATTTGGGGCATTTGCTTTGCTCCAAAACACTTGGACTGTGAGTTTGCCTGTGCCCTTGCCAATTCTGTAGGCCAGGTGTGTGTACCCAGGGATTCAGTCAAATGCCCACAGAGGAACTAGGGATGAATGGAGAGATTAAGAGAAAGCTGGTTACCCCGTGGGAAATTGAGGGATATTCAGCAGAAAAAAGAGAAATCAACACTTCTCTTGATAGATAATTGGACCATTTTAGAAAACAGTTAAATCCATGTGTTTCACATCAGTTATAGCAGAACAAAAATAGATGAATTTTCTTCAGCAGGGTTTTATGTCTATTTGGCATTCTAAATGCTTCCTGTCCCTGGATATTCATGTCTTTCCCTAGGTTTAGGAATTTTTTTGGCTACAATTTCCTTGACTAAGTTCTCTGTTCCTTTGGTTTTTATCTCTTGTTCTCCTTAGATTCTTTTTTGGTCTCCTGATCATGGCCTAGAGTTCTTAGAAATTGTGGAGGCAGCTGCTTTTTCTTTTTCATTTAATTGTGTACGTGTGTGTGTACCTGTGTGTAGGTATGCACACATGAGTACAGGTACCACAGAGGCCAGAGGAGTCATATTCCCTGGAACGGAAGTCATAGAAAGTAGTTAGCCTCAACGTGGGTGCTGGGAACCAAAATCTGGTCCACTGGAAGAGCAGCAGGGCTCGTACTGCCCTGAGCCAGCCCTCCAGCCCTGCTTCTCTAAATTTCTGCCTTGGTGTAATGATTTCTCAACTTTTTCCCAACTTCAAGTCCTGATAGTCTTTCCTGAAAGTCTTCTCTTAGATCTAGTCTATGATTCTTCCCAATTCATTTGGTTTTTTTTCTTTGAGCTTTTCACTTCCAAGATTTCTATTATTTTTTTCCCCAGAATCTCAATCTTTTCTAAATTCTCTTTTTTTCTCTCAAATCTTGAATAGAATTCTTTCCTGTATTAATTTCTTTGTATGAATCCTCTTTAAGGTTACATTATTTTTAAAATTAAATCTTTAAAGTTTCAGTCCAGGTTCACTTGAACCCTTTCAATTTCATCAGGTCTAGTTAACTGTACGCTTTTGGAGGAACCATCTTGGCTTACATACATACATGCACACACCTATTTATATGTGCACATTATGTGAATTAGTACATACACTTTATGCTATATATAATAAACATAAATATATGTGTAGGTATATATTCTGTGTTGCACTTTGCTCATGTGTTGTGCTGGTGTTCTCACTCCTCTTGGAGGCTTATGAATGGGCCACCTTCTCCTGAGGGCTTAATGCCCTGTGCCACTTGGAGGACAGAAAGCACACTGTAGGAACAATAAAAACTCCAAAACAAACCACATATTTAAACACATGGAAAAAATTAGAAATATCAGTTCTTCGCTGATAAAAATAAGAAAGGCACAATGATGCATATAGATAAGGCAGGAGTTTAAAATTATTAAAGGAAAATGTGTTAATAATGAAAAAGGAATAGGGAAAGGAAAAGAGGGGCATCAGGATAAGAAAGTACATGGAATGAGGTGTGAGAATAGGTAGGGAAATGCAGTGCAATGAAATAAACGCAGACGGAGGCCATGCAGTCAGCAGAAAAAGTAAAGGACGGAACAGATAGACAGAGCAAAATGCAGAGGCTCCTTCCTGCAGAGAGAGGAAGCAGATGCATTGATTTGTGCTTTGTGTGGTGGTGGGGTAGTTATTTCTCAGTCCACTGGGTAGGGGGCGTATTGCTTCATCTTCTCTCTGAATCCCAATCTAGGTAGAGCAGAAGGAACTGTCCGCAGCTCAATCCTGCTCTGCTCCTCTCGGAGTGCAGACTACTATGCTGTCGGGCTAAATTCCTGCCTGTTTTCAGTGTCCGGGCCTGGCAGTTTGGAGAGAGCCAGGGCTACACTTGAGGCTCCCGCAGGCTGAGCCTGAGGACCTCAGGTGGATGGTACCTTGAGCAGACTAGCTTTCTACCAAGTCTCTCTGGGACTCAGAGTGTAGAAAGCAATCATGGCCAAAGAAATGTGCACTGGCGGGGGAAGGCCGGAACCCTGGGTGACTCTGCTCCTCTGGCCAGGCCAAGCTCTGTCCCTGCTCACCCTCTCACACTCTTAGGCTCACTCTTCTCAGAGCTTGGGCCACAGTTCCCATCTGGAAGTGCCCTTTCCTTCCCTCAGAGTGGGTGCTACCCTTCCTGCCACATAGCACTATGTCTACAAATATCACAAGGTTTCCTGAGCCCACACTGTATCTCATGGTGGTCACTCGCATAGCCGAGGAGACAGGGAGGCTTTCGAGCTTGGAAAGATTCCTAGGCTCCTTTCTTTTCTCTGCAGCTAAATGGTTTGACTGTAAGGCCTCTCTTATGATTATCTGCCAACTACAGCACTGGCCAGCGGCGTCCGGACTGCAGTCTCTGCACCCTCTCAGGCTCCGGATCTCTCCTCGTGTTTTTGTGGTTTTTGCAGAGAGCCAGACAGTGTATGTGTGTGCAGCTCTATGAGGCTTGCCTTTCTCTTTAGTTCAGGGGTCCCCACCTGCATGGTTTTGTCTAGTACCCATGTTAGACTGCAGGTCTTCACAGATCCAGGCCCAGTATTTCTAGGTCGCACTGGTGTCTTTCCACTTCACCTACCTCTTTCTGCAGTAACAGCTCTGATTCTTCTTTCAGATTCCTAGACGTGCAGCAGTGTTTTGGGTGTGTCTAATCTGCACGTGTACACGCACAACTTGGCTGCTCATTTTGCTTTTGTTAACCATTTGGGAGACATATGGTGTGAACATCTGAAAGAAATGAGTAACTTTCAGTCATTTTCTGTGATGATAATCTGACATATGGCTTGTTTTAGACCATTCTGATGATAAAAAATGAAAGGCTTCTAAGGGCTTAATTATATTAAATACTTTCTTTAATTAAGACCAAACTATTTTATAAATGGGTCATAAATTTTAAATCCTTTATAATACCATTTCTTTTTCCCTCAACTGCTAAGGTCTGTGGAGTGTTCCCTTATTTGATATAGCAACAGTCACAGCAAATGAACTGAATGGCCTATTTCTTAATTAAAATATTTTCAATATTCTTTATTACATTTTGAATTAAGAAATACAGCCTTGGGACAGGGCAGGTAGCTCTGTGGGTAACATACGTGCCATGCATATGTGAAAACTTGAGTTTGGATCCCCAGAACTCACATGAAAAGCTAGGGCAGCAGCCAACATCCATAATGCCGTGCTGAGGGCAGGTGAGGACAGTTGGGTCCCTGGAGCTCTTGTGCAGCCAGTCTAGGCTGTGGGCTCCGGGTTCAGTGAGGGAACTCTGAAAAAGTGAAGTGAAGGCCGACTGAGGAAGACGCCCCAGCATCAGTCTTCGGCCATACCTGTACATACAACACATACACACTCAAAGGAAATACAACCTCAGTGCATAACATTACTTTTATTCTTATGTGAAAATAAGTTTTGTTAAAATTCTTTAAAAGAATGAAAACTTTCACAAAGCACATGCAGTTTTGGAGACAGCTTTAGGTGTTGATGAAATTCAGTTGAGCAGGCTGACTTTCACTAAGAGAAAGATCATTGCATTTTAACAAAGTTGATAATTTACTATCCCATGTGTTTCAGAATAAAAGTTTAATTTTTATTACATTTAATCCTGGCAATTCTGTACTATGTGATACTACTTAATGTAATTTAAAATAGCACTTTCCATTTTCATCAATGTACCTGACTTGATTGGAACAGGAATTTTTTTTCGCTGAGAATTAATGACTTTTAAATTAACTACTGGCGATAACCTAAAGCTCTGCTGTTTTTATTTCTTTTATGAAAAAAACAGTATTTTAATGAACAGAACATTAATACTGTTCTTTTACGTGTTAGAACAGGCTCTCAAGATGTAACAAAGTTGAAAGAAACTGACAAACTTCTTTGTCATTTATCCAAAATAATCATGAGACTTTATCATTTTATTAGAAATTGTTGTGTTGCTTTTTTAACATGATTGTAGTTGAATCTTTATAGAGCTGACCTTTTAGTTTGTCATAGCACACTGCTTGGAAATGCTAAATGGCCATTAACTTGTTCAAACTGAGGAGCATCAGACATTGTGGCAAAAACACCACATTGTGCAGTCCCCTTCGAGAAAATGATCAGTGTGTGGCCCATGTTCAGTGTGGACAACAGAATTGTCTGTCAAATAGTATTGACAGAGTGGAAATTGACAGCAGAAAACGGCTTTTCAGTTCTCACGTTTTTCCAATGAGTTTTTTGCTATAATAGTTATACATATTTTGGAGACACAGTGTAATAATTCAACACGTTTGCAATGTGTAATGACCAAGTCAATGTAATTACTATTTCTTTCTTATTAGACAGCATGTCTTTGAATCAGGAACCTTCAAACTCATTGTAATCTTTCTAATATATATCATGTTATAAATTGTGAGTAGGTACTCTGCTGTGGAACACTAGAACTTAATCTGTGAAGGTATACTATACTTTATTATGTTGGGGTTTGTTCCTTCCATCATTTTTGTCTTTTTATTATAAAGGGGTATTGAATTTCACTCACTGTTTTTTTGTATCTGTTGAGGTTATTTGGTTTTGTTTTTAATTCTGTATATCTGTATTTCTTCTACTGATTGGATGTTGTACATCTGTTGAACCAGGCTTGCATCCCTTGGATAAATTCCACTTGATCACAGTGTAATCTTTGTGATGTGGTTGGATTCCAGAGGTTACTTTGTTCAACAGAGATGGTGTGCTGTAGTTTGGTTTTTTTTGTGTGGTGTGCTTATTTGACTTTGGTGATGATAAAGCTGGTCTTGTAGCATGAGTCTGGAAGGCTTCTGTTTCACTAAATTTTTTCCCTCCCCCTTCTTGGGAGACTTGCGCTTGCCCCCTGAGGCCCTAGGGCTGACAGACTGACATGAGACATCCTATTTGAATTTTGCATAGTTCGTATGACATTTGGAAGAGGGGTGACTTACAAAGAAATGGCTTCTCGTAACCCGTGCACCATTCAAGCCCCACCCATAGTCTCCATTACTCGCCAACATGGTGCCATGGTCTGAGTGCCTCATCTCGCCCTGCGGAGCCCATGAGATGGGCAGGACACCAGGCCAGCCACCCCAGGCTTCTCTCCCTGGGTTCCAATATGGCCATGGCTCCACCCCTTTTCCCAGGGTGCCCCTAGTTGCCCACGTTTCCCTTAGCCTCACTGCGTTTTGGAGGAATAAGGAGTTCCCAGGCTACAGCTTCCCTCCCTGTTAAGGTTTTTCAGTAATTTTGTGTCTAGGACAATTTCTAGAATTTTCCATTTGTTGTCACATACTTGTACATAACTCTCTAATGATTCCTTAAATTTATGTAATGTCAGTTGTCCTTTTCATCTCTAATTTTGTGTCTTTTGGGTTACTCTAATGAGTATTTGTTCTGTTTTCAAAATAGCTATTTTGTTGTTTTATCTTTAAATTTTCATGTTTCATTTCTTTTATTTTCTTCTATTGTTTCTCTCTCTCTCGTTCCCCCCTCCCCATGGCTTGCATATGAAGGTCGCAGGACAACTTTGGGGAATTAGTGCCCACCTCCTACCATGTAGATCTGTGGGATTGAACTCAGGTCCTTGGTTTTGGTGGCAAGTGCCTTTGCCCACTGAGCCATCTCTCAGGCCCCTGTTTCATTTATTTCTACTGTGATATTTGTTATATTTCTTCTTGTACCTATTTTGGACTTACTTTGTTTTATAATTCCTTCAATAACAACATCGTTTTTAAGTTCATGTTTTAAAATCACAGTCATGTTTCTAGCACTTTTTTCTATGAATGGTTATTAAGTTTCTAATGTAATTGTATTTGAAGTTTGAGTATTACATAATCTAATTTTCTGTATATTGTTGATCATTAATATATTCTAACTTATATTATTTTCTCACATAATCAGATGACTGGGGGTATCAAATTATTTTGCTATTACCGTTCTAAATAAAATACTATGTGAAAAGCCAGAAAGCACACAGAAGTACATTATAGAGGATTTGTATTTATTGACTCTTAAAACAGAGGTCAGCTACTAGAAAGGTACATTTTATAAAGTGCTGTTCTTAGTTATCTTAGTCATTTTTATTCAGGGTTCACTCTTCAATTTATTCTCCTTATACCATCTAACTCAGCGTGATTTGTGGCTGTATTCATCACTGTGCTGCTTTACGTATAATATAAACTCTTAGGGACCAGACAGACACTCATCTTTCACAATTTTAACATGAACTTTTTTTTTTTTTGAGACAGGCGCTCCCTGTTTCCCCAGGTGGCCTAAAACTTGTTGGGCAGACCAGGTTGGGCTTGATCTCACAGAGATTCTCCTGCCACTACCTCCCAAGCACTGAGATTAACAGTGTGTACTACCATGCCTCACTGGCATTTTCAATTTTAATTTAATTTCATTATGTACCAAGTATTAGTCCAAGAAAACATGGTTCACTAATTTCTTATACAGTAAGTACATTTGTTTATTATTTTAAGAAGTTTTACAGCTAGAAAATCCTGGTAGGGAAACATTATCAATTTTAAAGAAATCAAACAAAACAGGAATATGATAATGAAATAAATTCAGACATACATAGTTTAATGTAGGACATTTCTTTATCACAATAATGTTAGTTTCCTATATTCAATACTATACGTGAAAGATTCATATGACCTTTTTAATTGCAGTGTCCTCTCACATGGCAGAGCAAGTGGGAAGGCCCAGAAGACCCCCTTCAGTACCTGAGGGGTCTGGTAGCTCGCACTCTCGCAATTCAGGTAAGACTGATGATGAAGCAGCTGCAGGTGTGGCCCTGCTGTGGCATACAGACTCAATCTTGGTGAGGATGACATGATTGTGTACACAAAACATATTTATATTCTGACATTAGGAATTTTTGTGGCACTGTCTTTTTTTAAAGGTATCTTCTACTCAATTCTGGGTTTTCATTATTTCTTTAATATTTTCTGTTATGAGTGTATTGCCTGCATGTAAGTATGTGCACCCATGTTGTGCAATGCTGGTGGAAGTCAGACGAGGGCATAAGATTACCCTGGAACTGGAGTTAGACTATTTTTATCTGCCATGCAGGTGCTGGGATTCGAACCCTGGTCTCCTGTAAGAGCAGCTAGTGCTCTTGAGTGCTGAGCCATCTCTCTGACCCTGGATTTTATTTTTTTATATATATATTTTATTATTTTTATGTGTATGCATGTATTACCTGCATGTAGGTAAGTGCACCCGTGTCGTGCAGTGCCCAAAGAGGACCAAAGAGGCTGGTGGATCCACTGGAACTGGAGTTATGGACAGTTAGCTGCCATGTGGGTGCTGGGATTCGAACCCAGGTCTTCTGCAAGGACAACCAGTGTTCTTAACTGCTGAGCCATCTCTCCAGCCCCCAATTTTCATTATTTTTTATAATACACAACTGTAGTATAGATGAATCATACATGTGATAACAAATCATTTCAAAATTGTGACTTTTTGGCTTTAAAGAATATTTTCCCTATAGGAAAATATTTTAATTTTTTCCAAATTGGTGGTATTTTTTTTCCTCAACAGAAAACCAGGTAGGTAACTGTGAAAAAAATTGAACAAATAACAGAGGGAGGCAGGACCTTTTTTAGTGCATGACAAATGCAGCAGATTAGCTGGCAGGTGCAGGTGCTCTGAGGTTTCCCACTGTCTTGGTACTGTAAAGTCAGAAAGCAAATTACATACTTCCAACATGCAATGGTACAGAAAACAGATTTCTATTCCAAAAGGGAGGAATGGGGGCATAGTGAGTAAATACCAGGCCACTGCAAGACCAAAAACCAGCAGGGCAAACATCAGGTCCAAATAGCTCCATGTCTAATGTCTGTGACTTAATTTCCAATGGGCTTAGATGGCCCAGTCCCTCTAGCTTTGCTGCCTGCAACATACATCTCTCTCTTGAGCTGGAACTATTCCATATATACACCTCCCCTTGGCAGATGTCTCCCAACTCTGGCATTTCCAACATCTTGAGGGTGTCCATTGCCAGCCAGACTTCACCTTCACAGTTTCACACAATAGCCTCACAGTGACTTTTTTCTGGTAAGGACTCCTCTGCCATATACTGCCTGGCCTCAGTGGCTCTCTTAAACCACAGAGGAAGAATTGATGACTCCCCTCACTAGTGCCTTGTCCATGCCTCTAAAGCCATTAGCACATGAAGGGCACTGCCAAGTTGGCTTCCAGCTTGGAATGCACCTTCATCCACATTACTATCAGGGGTTTTGTAGGAGCAGAAAACTCCTTAGGCCTTTTCCTTTCTCAAGTTGGAAACTTGGCTGTGTGGAATCTTGCCATCAGGGTACTGTTTCCATTGTTCAAGTGCAAATCTGGAGAGCACTCCTTCATGTCTCCCATCTCCTTATCTCCATGTCTTACCTTGGCTATAGATATTAAGCTTCCTAGTGCTCTTCTCCTCTCTAAACTGCACATTTTCTGCTTATTTCTCTCCACTTGCTCTTTTTTCATTAATACCACCACAGATTCAATATTGTGCTGGCTTAAAATTTCCTCTGCCAAAGATAATTAGTCCATTACTTTTTAATTTAGCCTCAGGCAGGTTCTTTGGCCTTGGGCAGATGGAAGCCAGATTCTTTGCCAGTTGCTTTTTAATCCTTTGTTTCCCTCTGGAACTATCCTGCTCTCAACACTATCTTTGAACCTCTTACTAAAACAGCCCATTAAGCTCTGCATATAGCATTCAACTGTTTTTCAAGTCAAAACTTCCAAAGTCTTCCACAATCTACAAAAATCAACGTGGTCAGATTCTTCACAGCAATATCCCACATTCTGGTACCAGCTACATTATTAGTTACTTTTCTATCATTGTGATAAAACACCATGATCTTATAAAAAGACTACATTGGGTGGGGACGCAGCCAGAGTAGAAAGCTGAGTGCTTGTATCTTCTAGTAGGCACAGGAAGCAGAGATAGTGAAACTGGAAAATGGGGCAGGGCTGTAAAGTACTTCCTCTATCAAGGCCATACCTCCTAATGTTCCCCAAACAGCTCTGTAGGTGGGGCCAAGTATACAAATACCTAGAGCTGCTGGGTGACATTCCTTTTTCAAACCACCACAGGTGTTTTCCTCAATCACTCTCCATATGTTATTCAGACAGAGTCTCTGTACCCAAGGCTCACAGATTGCCTAGACAGGGCTGGCCTTGAAGCCTCCAGTAACATGCCACTGTGCCTGACTTTTTATGTCGGTTCTTGGGATCCAAACTCAGGTCCTTATGCATACAATGCATAGTTTACCCACTGAGCCATGTCCTCAGACTCTTAATGAAAGTTGCTGTGTCCCAGAACCCATGTATTGCCAAATCACATTGCCAGACTTGGCTTTTCAAAAAACATTATAAAACATATTTATAAAGTTGCAGTAGCATTTATTGGCATTATATGCAGTAATCACACCATAGGCACTCCCCTTTCAAAGACTGGTGGCTACAGGATAACTTTGTCATTGGAAATTGTTGAAATCTTGATTTTTAAAAATTTCTTCAGATGAGGTTTTTAAAAAAATTTTTACAAACACTTTGAGAATTTCATACATGTATATAAGGTGTTTAGATCAAACCCATGCCCACTCCCTCCCCTCCAACATTCCCCCCTCTGAAGAGGTAACCCTAAAATCTTTTAAGGGTTACATACACGCTCCCAAATACTTTTGACATTTTTAGGCTTTGGAACAGAATATGTTGCTAACAGGCCCAAGGACATTTTGACTGTTAGCCAAGAAACTGGCTACATTTCTTTGGGGTCTTTTTACCCTAACTGCCTAGCCAATTCCTACCTTCTATTCTTATCACACCATCCTCTGAAGAAGTTACCCAAATTGCTGATAGGGAATAGGGACGCAGACCGCTCTGGCTTCTTCCATGCTGAACTCAGGGTGACGCCATTGGAGTACCCCTTCAGTGGGTCTATCTAAAAGACTCCCAAATTGCATAACTCTTGTCTCTAAGGGGAAAAGAAAGTCCGTGAATCATGAGTAGGAGATGTGAAGGAGAAGTAAAGGCAAGAGTAATTAGCATTACAAGTTCTAGACAGGGAACTAGAAAAAAGTCAGAACAGGGCAATTTTCAAATGTTCATATTAGAGTCCATTGGCGTTTCTTGACAAGGGCTTCAAAAGCATCCCTCTATTGGGTCCCTCCTCACTTTTCTTTTGTTTTCCAAGGCTGGACTAGTTGGCTGGGAAGAGTGGTTTTAAAAAATATTTTAGCTAGACCTGGTGGCACATACCTTTAATCCCAGTACTTACTTGGGAGGTAGAGGAAGGCAGATCTCTGATCTGATTGTGAGTTCCAGGCCAGCTAGGGCTACAGAGAGACCCTGTCTCAAAACAAAAACAAACACAAAAACAAACAAACAAATAGTAAGAAATGCTTTAAACTTAGTAATAAAATTATTTGAACAATTTGTGTTAAGCTAAAAAATCCCAGCCCTGTCTGAGGAGCTGTTGGCAATTGATGGCTGCTGAGTGAAGAGTCAGTCTCTTCAGGGATGTAGCCTCTGTTACCTAGTTTACAAGAGCTGGATCCCCAGTGCAGAGAGTAGGCCAGAGTGGTGTCTGCTGCCCCTGCATTATCTTATGTGTGATGGAGGTGAGACGTGGGAAATGGTGGGAGGGATGCTTATTTCTCTCAAATTCTGTTGAAATTAATGTCTTAAAACCTTGAACATAGAGAAATGAACTATTTCTTTGAAATTTCATTTAGAAAACTCCTCAGCAAAACAGCATCATTGAGTCTCTAGGACAGATTTTCAGAGGAGAAAAAAAAATACGAGTTTATCATATCTGACCACCAATTCTGTTTCTCTTAATTCCTGTTTAACAACATGGAGAGCTGTAGGTATAAAAGAAAATGTGTACATTTTTGTTGTAGTAAGCTGGTGGAGTTAGGAAAGACATTTCTGATAGGATGATATATTTGAATGGATCTGAAAGAGGAAGACTGCTTAAACATCAGTAACAAAGGAATTGAGAATTAAGTAAACAATTTTAAATAATCCATAGATCAAACAAGATGATTAGAAATAAAGTTGGAAATTAACTGTATAAAAGTCTAAACAGTACATTAAAATTTAAAAGATACAGTAAAGACTTAGTCAATATAATTGATTAACTGAGTACCAAGAATATTCAAATATATTCAGCACATATTACTAAAGCAATTCTCTAAAGTTAGCCAAGAACCTTAATATGGAGTACATGGGGCAAAAAAACATTTTAAGGTTCGTAGACACCAAAATGAATTGCGTTCCAGGAAACTAGTCAAAATCAGTTGTTGTATCTTAGACTCCAAACTTGATGTCTCATTCTTAAAACCCACTGAGTAGACTTGGAAGAACAGTTATAATTTTCTTTTTTTTCAGTGGTTAATGTATCTTGTAAATATAATGTGCCCAATTTGAATGATGGATGGTAGTATAAACAAGCTCAGGCCCAGAATAAGATGAAGCTCAAAGAATGGCCATGTCTAGTGGTAGCATCACTAGCCCTTGTCATCCTTGGTATCTGCCTTGCTGATGAGGAGCTCAGTGTATTGCCCTCATTTGTCCAGTGACTTGAAGAGCTTGTTACACATAGGGCTATTAACATGCTAATAAGTTTTAGTGTTTCATTTGCTCCAGACAAAGCAATGACTCCAGGTACTTATTTTTATCTTGGATGAATTAGATTTTAGTTCTGGGTGAATTTATTCTCAGATCCCTAGCCTCCAAATATACTAAATTACTTGAAAGAAAAGAATATAAAGATGGCACATTGATAACAGTTGTCAAAATTATTATTTGCATGAAACATTTATTTTGGGGACCATAGTCTATTTTAAAATGCAAAATTACATCAGCTTATTCATTGCTTTAGATCTATGATTGCTAGTTCATGTGTATGACAACTGAATGATCAAATAATATATTTGTGAGGGAAGAGCCTTGTTTCCTCATAAAGGAGTGGAATTCTGATAAGATACTATTTTTAACCTAGAGTTTCACTTTCCACCTTTTGTCAGTTATTTGCGTATTCTGTCCACCATATCTAGCTAGTAAGTTCTTTTCATTAAGTAAATGTGAGGTGGTGCCACAGTAAAGAAAAACTAACTCTTGGAGTCATTTAAACCAAGAGTGAGCCCAGTCTGTTTTCAGAACCGTTCCTTCTGATTTCTCTCAGAACTGGTCTCTTGACCAGATTCTTCTGACCCAGAACAGCACAAAAAGTAACAACCAGGTGTCCTCAACCTGTGCCCAAGTGCTGCTTTCAACAATTGTGTGAAACACACTGTGTGAAACACACTGTTTAAGGTCATAACTATTTCCAATGGATGGTCTTAAGTTTAATGGCCACATGTTATGCAAACATGTTGTTCTGAATCAGGGGCATGTAAGGGTCAGGAAAGAAAAATAGGGAACATGGTGTAAGATTAAAGCTATGGGGGCTGAAGAGATGGCTCAGTGGTAAAGAGCACTGACTGCTCATGCAAGGACCCAGGTTCAGTTCCCAGCACCCACATATGGTGACTAACAGTCATCTGTAGCTCCAGTTCCAGGGGAATCTGACGCCCTCTTCTGATTTCTGTGGGCATTGCATGACATAGGTGCACTTATATACACTCAGGCAATACACTCATGCACATAACATAAAATAATGTTTTTTCAAAAGATTAAACTGTGTATTCAGCTTAGCTTGTGTTGATTATGTTGGGAATCCAAAGCATAGTAAAATTGATTACATTGATTTTCTTAAAGGCTAGTTAAATTTAAACAAGCTGAGTGCACAGTCGGAAAACAGACCGACTCAAAAATATGATTAACTTGGATCCCAGAAAAGTCATTCCCACATGCTTCTAAGAGACTGTTTGAATTCATTAACTCATAACTAGCACTAAATATTGCAGTTTTAAAAAATTCTTCCACATCACTTTGGGAAATAATTTCACTTATGTTATAGTAAAGGAACTGTACTCTAGCACCTTCAAGGTTCATTCTGGCCTCAGCTGGGAGTTGCCCTGCCTGTTTTCTCCCTGGTCTGGTAGTTAAGAAGTTGCCCACCCATTTTGTCACTCCTTCTGTTGGCTGTGCATGCAGTTGTCTCCATAATTGTTATACATCATTTGAAGAATTAGAGATATGAAGATTCATAGCCATAGGTGAGACTAGAGGTCTCATGTTCTTTCTAAAGCCCAATCATTCAATGGCTACAGCCCAAGAGATGCTTCAAGGAGAAGCATTAACTGAAACATTCTTGCTGTATAGTTATGCTCGCTAAAGCTTTCTTGCGACTCCAGTTTGACTGTGCATATTTCTTATTAGAAATAATGGTGCTTAGTTCTTTATTGCCACGCTAATAAATCAGTACAAGTATAGTTTAAATGTGGGAAAATGTAAGGTTTCCCTTGTGAAGTTTGATATTCAATGTTAATACAATTCAAGAAATACAATTAAGAAACTGTTATTTGAATCTTATCAAATGGTACGATCGTATTAATCTAACTTTAAGCTTAGTAGACAAGTTATTTTTTCCAGTAACATTTTTACCAAAGAAACTTTCCCTCCTTGACTATAATTATGTTAATCTGAACTTTAATGAAGGGGAAATCTGATTATCAGCCACTCTCTCTAGTTTTTAATTAGTTTGAGCACATATACATCCATTTCTGGCAACAACCCTTTTAGGATATTTGAATCCAAAATTAAGATATTAATGAAATAATGGTGTGGTTGGAAATATATATTGAATTATTCCTTTAAAAAGATAACTCATTGAAAGATAAATTTGATAAGTAAAAAATTGGTGTGCATAATTAAGAATCGCTTGTAAAGTATAATGTCTGAGAATAAAATATTTTCCTTTGTAAAATAAGTACATGTGCACTCTAAGGATCCAGGAGCATCTGTCATAGGATTGGGGAACTAATCAAAGGCAGTGAGATAACGATGCAAACAGCAGCTCTGGAGATTGTAACTGCTTTCCTTACAGCCTGAGATGAGTTTGCTTAGGTATAAAATAGGCTGTTTCAGAGCACGAAGCACGTCCTTCCTATTAACATAGCAGGAACAAATTAAACAGTTTTTCTTGGACTGTTTATATCATGTAAAACAAATTGCTGTGTAAATGGGAATTCTTAGGTTGTTAGTGGCTGATATTATTGCCTTGCTATCTTGGCACCAGCTGAAATGATAGACTAAGTCCAACATCAGTAAGCTAGCTCCTAGGGCACACTAGCACCTTTGAGCAATATTGCGGAGAAACAAACCACTTTGGCTGCCTGAGTTTTTTTCTTGACGTTAACATCTGCTGTTTGACCTTTGACCTCACCGTGACGCCATTTTCTCATTTTTAAAATGCAGACACCAACTTCAGCACAGTGTTAAACATGAAATTGGATGTAAGTGTACAGTAACGTGTCCAAGACTGTTTTTATTTGTTGCAAGTAGCAACTTTTACAGTACTTCCTGAGCATTATGATGATGTGAATTGAGACTGCTCAGAGCAAGCTGCTGATAGGGACTCATTTCTTCATGGGTATTAACATCATGCTTGGTTGGGAGGGTAGAAACCCCTTCAGTTTGTGCTGTGAGGGTCCTGAGGACTCTAGAGATCTCCTGCAAGTTCAGTGTCTGCCGAGCACACTGAGAATGAGTGACAGACCATACCCAGCACAAGCTTTCACATTTTTATTTTGACCAGATTTTTGCTACCAAAAGGTTGTGAAAGGAAGTTTATTTATGGTGGATAGATATACCAAATTATTCTGTCAGACTTTGCAATGCAAGGTGAAAATCTTTTTTTTTCTTAAACTGTGTCACAGCTTTTGGAAACTAACTGCATCACACTCTCGTTGAAAATGGCCTAAGGATAGGTATACACTCACGTGTTTTCTCTCCTCTTCCTCTAGAGCTGGATAGATAAAGCCGAAAAGCAATCGCTTCTCTCTGACACACTTGACCTGTCTGAACTCTTCCATCCAGATACATTCCTCAATGCTCTTCGCCAGGAAACTGCAAGGTAGTTAGAAATGGAGTGACTTGTTTTCCCTGGGGGTAATTAGACTGTTTTTCACCTCTGTGCAGTGCCTGATTGTTGAAAACCAGACGGGTGCATGTGCCCAGTATTTCACTTCAGTCACGGTCACCTCTTCTCAATAGCATAGCTTTATTGAAATTGAAAGTCTGGTCATGTATTTACCCAGACCTGTGCTGCCCAGGGATTTGTATGAGGCCATTTAAATTAACTAAGACTAGAAGCTGAGATTCTCAGTCACACTAGCCAAGCTCAACGTGATTAATGCCCACGGGCGGCTACCATTTGACTGCAGGAAAACATTTGTACCTTTACAGAAGTTTTACTAGACTACTCTGGATAAACCTCTTGATGAGAAGGATCTGACAGTTAAGGTCAAGGTCATTTTCTTGCCAGACCCGGCTTACTGTATGAAACAGACCGTAGTCTTTAACAGGTTAGAATATAGTGAGGTATCTGAATAAGGGTTGGTGGTTTGTGATTCCGGGATTTCACTTTATCACAGGACATTGTAATTATTCAGTCAAACCTTTACTGAATATCTGTTATGTGCTTACATTTGAAAATCTTGATCAAAATGGAGAACGTAAAAATGTCCAAGAGAGGCTTTCTCCATGAAAATCCTGTAATCTCAAAGGAAGACTGACACCTAAGCAACCAGCACTAAAATCTTAGATATACAGAATCTGGTAGATTATTTCACTTCAAAATATCTATCTTCATTTATTTATTTCACTTAAAAATGAAATAAGAATATATCTTCATTAATTTATTTCCTAAGGATTTTGTTTTCATGTGGTTTGGTTTGGCTCTGGAGATAGAACCCAGGGCCTCCTCCAAGCTTAAGCACATGCCGCACAGCTGCACTTTACACGCACACACCCCACTCCCCCAGAATTTTTTCTTTGTAATTTGATGCTTTACCTTTACAGGGCAATGAGCTGTTCTGTGGACAGTCTTAAATTTGTGGCCTCCTGGAAAGGTCGACTTCAAGAGGCAAAGCTGCAAATTAAGGTACTCATTAAAATGTCTAAACTAGCAGTCTCCTATCTTTATAGTAGTAAGATCAAGAGAGATTGATTATACAAGCTAATTTCATTCTAACTGTATGAAATACAACATAAAATACATAATTTGAAAAAGGAAAATCCAGGTGTATGCAGTTTAAAAATGGACATTTAAATCATAATCACACTGGTGCCTTTTTCTAATTACGGGAGAGCAATTAATGAGTCTAATGTGTTTACTTTAAAAGACAGCAGGTTATCCAGATCAGTTTGTTTTGGTTTTCTGAGGCAGGATCTCCCTATAGCCCTAGCTGACCTGGAATCTCACTGTGTAGACCAGGCTGGCCCCAATATCACAGATCCACCTGCCTCTGTTTCCTGAGTACATATATCACTATACTCGGCCCAAATCAATTTTTAATAAATGCAATTTCATTAACAATTCTAAATTCTGGAACCCAGATTAACTCTGCATCTGTTGGGTCATATTCATCCAGGTCAACTACCGTGGAAGGTCAATGTGAGCCTCGCCCAGTATCTCTAACTGGTATTGGCTATGCCCAAGCACTTCTGTTCTCTACACAGAGGCTTATGTTCCTGCAGACTAGAATTTCTTTAGCAGGGGGTCCCAGGACAGCATTCCAAGAGGGCGAAGCAATTTTAAAGGTCACCTTTGAAATTTGCTTAAAGTCTTGACACCATGTTTTGCTTGGTTTTGAGAGTGGCTCTCCCTATAGCCCCAGCTGGCCTGGAATTCTCTCTAAACCAGGAAGACCTTCATATCACAGAGATCCACCTGCCTTAGGTTCCTAAGTGCTGGATTAAAGGAGTGCTCCACAACGCCTGGCATTGATTCCACATTCTAATAGATCAAAGCAAGTAGCAAGCTGAGCCTAAATTCAGGGTTGGAAAAGAAACCCCAACTCTTGATAGAATTGATTTTTGACCGTATTTAGTGGCCTGCCACAAGTTATTATTAAACTGTGGCCACTGAGAATGAAGGACGATTCTGTGAGGAAAGACAGGTGCATGTAGCAGAGTCCAAAATACACCTGCACCTGCATAGAAATGTCTGCTTAGGGAGGTGCAGGGGCTGCTTTAGCAAGAGCCAAACCAAGTCACCATTTTGTATCTGGCTGCGTCCACGGCTATCCTCAGCCACATGTGGCCCACAAGCACAGGTTGGATATGCTGATGACATAAAAACAGAAAAATACAGGATTTCTGAAGATTTAAAAAAAAAAATCAGAGCTTTAAGAACAATTAGAAATGACTTAAATACTCAACAGAAAATAATTTGTATATTAATAAAACGAAATATAGTTGTTAGGAAAAAATGAATATACCTTAAAATCAATGATGAAAATGGGTTGTGTATTAATCTAAAGCATGTGAACCTTTACATACAAGTTGGAAACAACAGCAGTAGATTATTGCTTATGGACACATACAGTCAATTTTGTAAAACTAAATTCAGGATAATAGCAAGAGAAGGACCAGGAAAGGCAAGGCATATACAGTAGGTACCAACTGTGTGTGTTATGAAAGCCTTCTAAAGCTGAGGGAGCCCTTTCAGAATACACTGGGGCTGCAGGAGTTCTTTGGGATATACTCAGGCACTTGTGGTTGGCCTGATACACTCTCTCTCAAAGTCAGTGGCTTTGAAGCTGGAATTCCTTGTTAACTTAAATTTTTTTTACTTTTTTTCAATATGCTTATATCACATTTTCAAGTACGAATAACTTGAGTATGAATGGTTTTGTCTTGATGACTATTTGTTAAATTGAAAACCCTCCACTAACAAGCAAAACTACACTAAACTCCGTAGATATTAGCAGATATTCTCAGCCATGTGATTCTTTTAACACAATGGAAGAAAATGGGCTCTAGTTCCCACAGTTGGTTCTCTGCCTGCAAACAGCATGTCATCCTCAGGACTGCACTGATGTCAAAACAAACTGCTGCATCAACGCAGGGCACACCCCCAAAGTGCATATATAATGCACTCATTAAGAACTGTTTACTCAACAGGGAAAGTGTGGCATTCAGAGAGGTGTGTTCAACACCCCCTCTTCTGAAATGATAAAATGGACACAAGTGTCTAGGAAAAATTGCAAAATTAAGTATTATGAGGGCTTTTGATCAGAATTATCCAAGTACTATTAAACTTCCTTCTTCCTCACATTAGTGAATTTTCTATATAAAATAATTTTATTATCACCACATTCTAACCAACTGAGCTAACCAGCCCAGTGGCTTATATAAAATCATTTTAAATGTCTAAGAATTAGTGGGTAAATGAATAACATTAGCTAAAGGGTTGATACCCTAGCATCTGCTTTCATTCCTCCTTCCCTGGGAGGGTGTACCTTTGTCTGGCTGAGTTTGGGGCAGGATTTGCTACTTCAGGAGCATCTCTGTCCTGTAGTGACTTGGTCCTTGGCTCAGCGTGGATGTGACTAAAAGTTGGGCCATTTGTCTGGAGAACTGTTATTTCTTCAGTAATAAGGATAATGTTTGGAGCCTTCCTTAGAACTCCATTTGAAGCCAGAACAAGGGTACAATTTATTGATAACACATTAATCTCTGATATATTTTATATGTTAATCTTCAGAGCAATCATCTCAGGTAGACACTCTTGTATCTTATAAAGAAGGAATTGGAACATTTGAACACTTAGATCCCACAGCCTGTGCTTTGAAATGAACGATGAATGCAGAATACCCTGTACAGTGTTCAGAGCCACACCACACAGTCTTGGAGTCTGAGAAGAACTGGGCACTCAAGCTTGATGTAGTGAGGGCTGTTTCTAAGGCAGCTGAGAATATTTTTTAAAATAAAGTGCCATTAGGCCGTAATTAAAAGAAATCAACTGTACCACAAGAATGGGAGAAGATACTCACAGAGTCTGTATCTGTCAAGGGACTTGCAACTAGACTTACAAACAGGCATAGCATGTACACAGATAGCCAATAAGCACAAAGATCATTAGCTATCAAGGACATGAAATCTGAAGCATAGTAGTAGACTACTTTACCCCACTGGGATGATAATTCAAAAGACAGGTGCTGGCAAGATTGTTGTGAAAACCTTTACCTCCAGTATGTGTATATGAGTGTCACTTTAGAAAACAGCCTGGCAGTTTCTAAAAATGCTACCTTGTGACCCAGCAAAGCCTCAAAGGCCAGTGGAGTATCAGCTGTCCTTGTGATGAGGTGACTGACCTGACAGGGAACCTCTGCACCACTGTACTCTTGAAGACAGGACCCTACAACATCTTGCTAGCCTGAGAACAGATCACAATTCATTGTGCACTTTCTACTGAATGGCTATCATGTTTGCACTGTTACAGGTAAAAGAACGGTCAGTTCAATCATCTTGTCAGAGTCTACTTATAGCTTGTTAAAACATGAAGGTCCTATGGAAGTTCATTGAGCTTGGCATAAGACCTGTATCATGAGGAAGTTGATATGGCTGTAAAGATAAACTGTTGAAGAACTCTGAATGCAACATACTGACTGCCCACCTACCCTTTACATCGGGTAGGTTAGCACTGAAAAAACTGATGAACTGATCAAAGAATGAAGCTAACATTCCTGAAAGAACTATATTATTTTTCAAGTATCTTACAGAGTCTGTATATCTATATACACTAACATTACCTTGGGCTATATTCTTCCTCTTTTTTAAATTTTTTCAGCTCTGCATAGCAGGGTAAAAAATATTTCAATTACACTCATACATATATGTCTTAAAAACAGCACATAACATTCTCTTGACTCTGAAATTTAGCAATGAAAATATATGTGTAAATAGACTTTAATCCTATATCTGATGAACAGCAAAACTATTGCTTACTATAAGAAAAACAAGTTTTCTCATTGGAAAATGCTGCATTAAATTTTCCAATTATAGTTCTAAGAAGAGCAAAAGCATCTGAATAGTGTTTGAACATGAAGTGTTTGAACATGAAATGTAAGGCTGCAGCACTAACTAGAGTCATGAATGTTGTTGCATTATTTAAAAGATGATGTTAGAGTACACTCGGAACACGTTTGTCCTTTAGTTAGGTTTCTCTTCCCACTGTTCGTGGGGGGAAAAAAAAATCTGGCTTTTGTCATTAATTTCTATTAATCCAGTTCCAAGGCACCTGTGGTTATATAGTCTGTCACATTGAGTTTTTCCTAAAATATTAGCTAAAAATAAGAATTCAGTCTGAAGAAAGTTCAGTCAACCTGGGTTAGGTTTTATCTCTAAATAAAAGGCCCGAATCTATTTTTTAGCATTCAGGATGCCGAGCTACAGAGGACAGTGTTGCCTTTGATCTTAAGATCAGAAAGTAGTACCTGGCATTTAGTACACATTGTAACACTTTCCACCTTTCCGTGCAGATCAGTGGCTTGTTACTGGAAGGATGCAGTTTTGATGGCAGTCGGCTTTCAGAAAACCAGCACGATTCCCCCAGCGTGTCCTCGGTGCCCTCTTGCTACATGGGCTGGATTCCACAGGTGAAGCCCTTGGGATGGGCCTGGTTTCCAACATTATCAGTTCACTCTTGGATTCTGTGTTTAGAGTAAGACAGTCTTAGGACATGAGATTTTGTTTGTTTTCAGATTTTATCTGCATACGTACAAATCTGTAAAATACTTTGTAAAGAGGCAAAGAACACTTTTAAAGCATTTTGTTTGGGAAACACTTGATTTCTGAAAAATATATATCATTAGAGCAAATTCTTTCATATTAAGAACCCCCATGTATCGCAGTCCTGTCTTCAGCATGGTGCCCGTGCGCTGTGCCCCCTCCCTCATGTGCTCCCTTGGCCAGCGAAATTCAGCCTGACACTGGAGAAAATGAATGTGCTGTGTGAGGACATGGCCTTGCAGCAGTGTGGCTTCTTGGCTCTCTGAACAATAACTCTAGTTATTGCTACAGTCTTCCATTTCATGTTCAAAACAATTCAGATGTTTTTGCTCTTCTCAAAACTCCTACTGGAAAATTCAATGCAGCATTTCCCAATGAGAACACATTTTTCTTATAGTAAGCAATAGTTTTGCTGTTCATCAGATACAGGATTGACATCTATTCACACGTTTTCTTGCTAAAGGCAATGGCATGTGCTTTTTTAAAGACACATGTATGCCTCCAGGTTCCACTGTGGAAAAATATTTTAATAATGAAGATTTTTGTTTTGTAACTGCTTATCAGGAGCATGGTCTGGTGTAAGGCAAGGCCTGACATGTATGAACACCCGGTACAATCATGTTCTATGCCCAACTGTGGGAAGATCTCTAACAGATGTGGCAAATGTTCCCTCACAGGCAAATGGGGAAAACCAAGATGAAGAATCAAGATCAAGATAATTTGTATTTCAGAAATTTCTACTGAAAAGTTGATAATTAAAAATTACATGGTTTTTGAGCTCAGGTTGTAAATGAAACTGAAAGTTATATCCACAAGTTCAGAATGGACTTTGCCAAGAGCTTTAACTTTAACTACATCATATAAAGTTGGATACGAACTTGATGGGTTCTGATGAGTCTAAATTATATAAAGTACTAATTCTCTGGCAAATAAAATTTCAATCCATAAGTGACCATGATGGAAGAATAAAAATTTTGACAAAACTGGTTCCCTCAAGGAGGGCCCCAGCACTAGAGCATGGAGCGTAGCTGGCTTAGAATGAAGAAAGAAGAGTTCCCCAGGCAGCATCCATGGCCCTGACAGGAACAGCGCCGGTCAGCATTGCTGGGCTGCCATGGGCAAAGCTAGGCTCTACCAGGTTCTGTGAGAAGCACTGTGACTTTACAAGACTACGGATTGAGACTTTAAAATATTTTGCTTCATATATTATTTCTATTTGGTTGTATTTTTTGGTAATTTTTTCTAAATGATTTATTTAATAACAACATACTTAGAAGCATATCATTACAACACAATTGACATATTCAATAACGGTTT